ATAAATTAATTGTGACACCCTACCATGCATATCAATACAAAATCAGTAAGATTCAAGAATAATCAACTTGATGAAAAGATTTGTTTCCTCTAATTTTCAAAATCTGATTTTTATGATATTTTATATTTAGCCAATCATTTTGAAAAATACTTTGCAATATGATCAACAACAATTTACGTCTAATCAAGATATTAAAAGTGTTTATAGAGAAAAAATATTCTTTTTACATTATGAAAAGTAACTATACCGTTACTCAAAATACTTGTGCTTTTTCTAAATTCTTTTGATCAAACAACTTAATTCTCTAAAACAGAGATCGATAAAACACTTATTCTTAATTTCACTAAAAAGTTGATAAAAACTTCAACATTTAATTTGTAGATTCTTCAACTTGAAAATCTGAACAGTAGTTCGAGAGGTATGGTATGTGAAGGGCGCAAATTTTTGTCTTCTCTCTGTGCTTCCAGAACTAAACATAGTTTCAACAAGCAATAAGACATGTATACAAATGAATTTATCATACTAAACTACAACAAAAACGGCTTTTTACGGTAATAAATATGTATATTAATAAAGAGTACTAAAATCTTTAATTAATCAGCATTAGTTAATTATTATTAAATTTAATATCGTTATTAATTTTAGAAATATTTACAAAAAAATGTTAATTACCTCGAAAAAATATATTTAGCAATAACTAAGTTATTACGATTAATTCATTATCGATGAAAATCATTTTGATGAAAAGCATACAATGTACTCAACTCTTTAGCTAAATATGGCCATACATTTAAAAATCCACAAATTTTTGGGAGCTATTTATATGGATCATACCAAGCTTCCCACACCCACTCATGCACTCTTTAATTAGAATATACTTAATTAATGCACTACCCTTTTGATAGAATTTAACAGTTAGAAAAATACAACTTTAAATAAAATAAGAAAGACTAAAATGAATTTAATGTACTAACACAAAATAGCACATATAGAAAAAGGAAAATCCTTTCATTAGCAGTGGGTCATGCAGATGTTAAATTATTTATGTGAGTGTTTAGCATGATTATTACGGAGTTTAATAATCTAAGTTTAGTTTCAACTTAGTAGGCCAAAGATGTAACACACTAACAGATCGATGAATAAAGTGGAGCATATGATTGAGCTATATACCTATAAGTTCTATTGGGAAAATTTCACGTGTAAATGCATTTTTTAGTGATCGCAGATGTATATATTTGTTGAATGCTTTGAATCGGATCCGTTACAACAGAAAGGACGGGGGTCTCACTGCCCGGTCAGCGAGTCGGGGGTCCAGGGGGGCGACGCACCCCCTGGCCGGGGTCCGGGGGGCGGAGACGCTCCCGGCCCGACGGTATACAATGTTGTTGTATTGGGCTTTTAATTATCTATCAATTCTGTATGTTGGGCCCAAGCCTGTTAGGGCGTAGCTTAGCACTATATATAGACGCTAAGGCAAACCCTATTCTGTATTCTGTTTTTGCCTCTCCATAACAAAACTGCTCCCTCTCTTCCCCGTGGACGTAGCCAATTTATTGGTGAACCACGTAAATCTGTTGTCTTGTTTTTCGCGTTTATATTTTCTCGTATTATCTCGAATTCCGCACAATAATATTGGTAGGTAGGCCGAGAAACAACTTAAAATTTTTGAATTTCAAAATTCAAAAATGTAATTACTTCATCAAAATTTATCCTATTCTGACATTAATTAAGGGTGGCATAATCAGCAAGTGTAGGAATACTCCTATTTTGAGGTAGTGTTTATTTTTTGCCCCTAAAATTTGTTCCCTTCACCACTGTCGCAACCTAGCAACCCAAGTAGATATTGAGAAATCAAAATTGGGTGTAAACCAACCCTTCAAATAATTAAAATGCGAAAAAAAAAATACCCCTAATATTAAAATACCTTGAGAAGTTTATACAACCAGATAAGATACATCATGTTACATGTAAAAATGACTTATTATCATTTATAACGACACACATCTAATTATTTGAAAATTGCCGACTAAAAAAGAAGTATAAATTGCGTAGAAAAATGTCATTTGTATTAGTAGCACTACAACATTTTGAAGCAACTTTAATCCTTTTTCTTCTTCAGGTTCTTTTTTCCCCAAATAAGAAGCAGCAAACGACTTTTCTAGTTAGTTATGTTGGACCAATTACAAGAAGTTTATGGTTTTGCTCGATATTTTCTCCGTCTCATATTAATTGATAATTTTTTATTTTGTAAAATGCTTTAAAAATCATAAATAAGAAGATAATTTTACTAATTCACTCCTTAAAAATTTCATGAGAATTTTACAAATAAATGTGAACACTTTCAAAAAGAATTAATTGCAAAGGTAATATAGTTTTTTCTAATTAATGTGTTCTTGATTCAGTAAGATTGACAACTAATATAAAATAATTATTTTTAGTATAATGATCATCTAATATGAGACAGAGGGAGTAATAGAAGAGATCAAAATGTAGACATTTCAATTTTTGGCTAAACATTATCTTCTGGTTAAAATGCATTTGTTTGGTAAAGGAAGTTATGTAGGTCCAAATAATCAATTGCCTTTAAATTCATTCTTGAAAAAAGAAGTATTTCCAACTTCCAATACTTGGGATGTTATCATTAGTTATGTTAAAATAGCAAGTTTTTTGCTAGGTTTTTCTCCTACATTAATTTGGCCTAATCCTCTCTATTTCATATAAGTGAAAAACAAAACCAAAGTTGTGAAAGATGAGATTAACCTTTATACATTTATAGTCAATGGCAAAGCTAAAGGAATTCTATTGAGATCAATTCTCTTTGGAAACTAAAATTGTATATTCTCTCCGTCTTATATTAGTTTGATCAAATTATTTTTATACGCATATTAAGAAATAATTATTAATGTGAGATTAAAACTATACTCTCTCGGTCCCATATCAGTAACCCGTCCAAAGAAAGGAGATTAATTAATACTATAAGACAAAATACTATAAGTTAAAATATGTTATCGGATAAAATTTTCTTATATGTATATTACAATTTAATTAATATGTGACCCAAAGAGCATTGAAGTGTCACAAAGGTGAATAATGAGATTTTTATACTATATATTCGCCCATCAAAACAACAATAATTATATATCAAAAAAATAAAATAATATATATATATGTGACCCAAAGAGCATTGAAGTGTCACAAAGGTGAATAATATATATATGCGCATATTTTATATGTAAATAATTATTTTTTGTCGATGGATTAAAAATATAACTTTTCTTTAAAGGTACGGTACAATATTCTTTTTGCTAAGGCCAAATTTCGAAGATCATTGTCCCATTCATTGTCAATTGACTTTTTGCGTTAAATGTTTAGAATTTCTAACACATTTTTCGTCCATATGCAATCATTCGGGACAAAAATAGAGAATTATTGTCTCTTAATTACTAGGAGTCTAGGACAACCGTCTCTTTAAGACATCACTAAACTTTGATGATTGAATTGAAGAATAACTACTAAGCAACAGAGTTTCACATCTATGATCTACCATCATATTCATATATACTCTAGCATCTCAGTTGAGTTATATTGATAGTGAAAACATATATTTTATTTACTTTTATAATTTTAACTTTGGTGAGTGTCTGGATTAGGGTCCCTGTTGATTGGGAATCGGAGCTCGAGTTGGGATATTGAAAATCGAGTTGAACTCGGGATGAATCGAGACTGAGTTTCAGGTCTTGTCGTGGGGTGTCGGGTTTCATATCGGGTCGAGAGTCTGGTCCAGATTAAGTTTAAGAGTTGGGTGTTGAGTCCCGCGTTCAAGGTCAGGATTGGAAATTAGGTCCCAACTCGAAAGTTGAGTCCAAAGTCAAGGTTGAGAGATGGGTCCCGGGTCGGGCGAGGGTCATGGACCCATGGTCGTGAGTCAGACCTTTGGTTGAGGACGGGAGTCCGTTCTAAGGTCTAGACTCGTTTTGAGGTGGTGATCTTGAAAGAGAATTTTGATAAATATTTTTCTTACAATAAATATCATATTTTTTATATTAGTAAAAAATTAAATATTAGAAAAATATAAAAAGTATGTAAAACAATTCTACTTTATATCAAGAGACTAATAAGTGTAATCTTTTAGAGGTTCCTACACCCTGATATACTTCAAGGGGAGAGCACTTGATGGATTCCCAAAATTTGAGATGAATAGATAAATTCATATTTTATCCACTTTTGAGTAACCATAAATTTAAACCATTTTATCACCTCTAAACTCAAGTAAACACCAATTAGAAAGAGAGTCATCAATGAGAGAATTTTGACGTGCTTGTTTTTTTATTTCAAGCCAGATTCACCTCAGGCTATATTACAAGTTGTGAATTGAATTTGTTACAAATGTGAATCGTTTTCAAATAAATAATATATCAAAAAATTAAATATTGAGAATCTCATATTTAAAATTTAAATAGTTTAAAGGAAGATTTAAGTTGATGTCCATTTAAATCCGTCATTGAAGAATTTCAAAGCTCATATTTTGAAAATTCAACCCACTAAAAATGTGAATCATTACAAGTGAATATATTAACTCAAACTATCAAGAGAATCTAATATCTAAAATTTAGGATTGTTTAGAAGAGGTTTGAGCTCGTTAAGATTGAAAAAACGTGAATTGTTTTTATTTGTTCGTGTTAAATTACTTTTTTCCCTGCATCGAACTTTTAAAACGGATTTGGGCCTGAATATATTTTTGAGCCATATTGATCAATCGCATGAGCATTAGAAGAACTTGCAACCCTTGTGGTATTTTCTAAACATGGCTAGTTAGTATAGTATTTTATCCGTTTATTTTTATTTGATCAATATATTAAAAAATATATTTTTATTTTTGCTAATTATTTCAATATATTAAAAGAAAAATACATTTCTTACCTTTATATTTAATGTTTATTCTTTCAATCATTTTTTAAAATCTAAAACTAAATATAGACTATATGTTACACCGAACCTAGTGAAAAGAAAAAATTTAAATCATGTGCATGTTGGTTGAAACAGATTCACAGGTATTACCTATCACTCTACATAGTAACAACCTCATATAATCACATATTTTCGCTAATTGCAGGTCACTACTGCTCCAATTGGAAGAATCATCCCTGAAACACATTTCGAGGGAGGTTAATGCAGTAATAAATTTACTAGCAAAACACCGAAGAAAAATGAAAGATCCACATGTGATCTCTACTAATAAATGCATTAGAAAGAGATGCGGCTGGTAAATAAAATCCTTTCGTTAATATTACGATCGAATACCCATCTCAATCACTGCTAAATTCACACAAAGAACATATAACTTTATTAGCAAATAAAATAATTTTTTTTTATTTCTCATTTGATGTTTGATATTTAAACTAAAATTAAAACTTATACTAATAAAGATGACTCAAATATGAAGAGCAGTCAGATAGGAGTAGTGTGTGCCTTCCAATTATTATTATTAGTGCTAGAATAACTCCATTTGTCCGAGTGAGCAGTAGCCATAGAAGAAGCACCAGAACCACATTTCGCCACTGTCCTAACACTCTCTATTAGTGCCTCTGTACGTGCCTCATGTGACAAAATATCTGACAATTGTTCAGGGCTAATAAGTAATTTCACTTTCCACACACCTGTAGTTGTAAAGTCAAACATTTCATTAAGTATACGATTTATATTAATTTTTCTGTGAAAAGAATTATAGAACAAAGATTAAAATAGTTAATTGTAACTAAATATATATATATATACACTTGGATATAGATTCTTCAAAAATTTAAACAATATATATACATAATTGAAAACAATCCAGATAATATAAGTCAATTTGGCTGATAATTTAGAAAATAGTAGTCAAAGGAAAAATTGTTCGACTAATTTCTGAATAGTAATACTTTTACATAGTTATAGTACAGGTCATTTATTTAAATCAAAGAATGACTTTTATTATGAATTCTGGTATAAGTTGTCTAAAAGAATTGTAATTAAACAAGTCAACATGATGATGATCTAAAAACATATATTGAAAAGTTTAAGATGACTAAAAAGTATTATTTGACACTCCAAACAATTACTTTTACACATAAAATTAGATCATATATTTAACATATTATTTTTGGATAAAGGACGTATTATTTACCTGTACTACTGTAGGTAGGAAAAACCTCAGCTTCTGATCTCTTGAGCATCCTTTGATTATCAAATGACATCCTATAAGGTGTTGGTTGTCTACTAGTATCACAAGTAGTAACATGCCTTTTTTCATCTTTTTCATGACCTCTTTTGGATTTAATAATAGGATGGTTTAGTAGAGGAAGTAGATAGTATGATTCACCAGCATGTAGTTCCTCATTAGGAAAAAGTGGTGGAGAGAACATGTCCTGGCTATGAAAAATGGCATGTCCTGGGAATTCATTAGTGATGCAATGGGCTGTGATGGGTGAATGTAACTCCATGATCCCACCATTACAAGTCACCACTTTTATCATCATCTTCTTGTTTTCTTCTTCTTCTTCTTCATCAACTTCACCAAAACCAAAACCCTTGAACACACAATTCCCCATCTCAACAACCTAAGTTTAGTAAAGAAATATGGATTCTTGGAGATATATATGGATCAATATTACTTGGAGTTATCTGATATATATATGTGTATCCGTGAAAGGTAGCAAACAAAACAAACCAGGAGATGCTTGCAAAATTGAGCCTAATACAAATTAGGATTTCAATGATCAAACGTATAAGATATTTATACAGATAAAAGATAATAGATAATACAATCAAGAGATCGATCGATGAGCACAAATTCAACCTAATTTAGCACAGATACAAATTTATACAATAAAATTACCAGATATTTGTACTGACTGATGAAAGATAGCATATAAAAAAACAGATAAATTTATGCGTGTAAATTGAACCTAATTTTTATATGAAAGCGAGCAGATAAAAGGGATGAGCCAAAATATATGTGTTTGAAAAGGAAAACTATGGTTTTTTTGTTTTATAATAAATAGGAATATAGAGGAGCCGTCGGTGGGAAGTTTCTTGAGAGTAAAGGGGTTCTTTTCTTTTTGGTAAAAACATACAAGAATGTATCTTATGCTATATCATTAATACTCAAATCAAAAAAGATACAAGAATGAATATGAAGTATCCCTTGCTTCATGGTTGCAAATTCTTATAATAATATTATGTGTATAGTCTTTTGCTATTTATGTAAACTGTGAAGTGGTGGACCCTGTCTATCTAAAGAGACAAAAAAGGATGTGTTGTGAATTATGTCAAAGAATTTATATTGGTTCATAATAAAGGTAGTGAGGTTACAAAAATACTACTTATATAGTATAAAATAAAAGATAATTAAGCACTCAATCTTGTTTGATGATTCTGTACCGTTAAGACTTTTATCATGATAAGAGGCAATTAAATAGGAGTGATTTATTTGAGGAAGTTTTATTTTTGTTTGATTAGGCAATGAATTATCTTAATCATAAAGAGATGATACAAAAAGATTATTACATTATTAGTGTGATAAAAAGGAAAGAAACAGATCAAAGTAATCGGATTCGGTGATTAATTATTTAATTAAAAAGGTGTAGATTTGAGTCAACATTCATCATAATTATGGAGTAATCAAAGATTATGGCTCATGTGAGAGATCATTGGTCAATGGGTAATCAATTTGTCCCTCAATTTGTCCTTTTCTTCTATTTTTTCCTTTTCTTTGGGTATGCATGAGCATGTCTTCTCGCTATCTACTGGCTAGCACATGACCGATATGATATGATAAATATCGAATTGTTATATCAAAATTATTTTTTTAAGGGAAAAGGGTTAAATATGCTCCTAAACTATTGGAAAAGGTTTAGATATATCCTTCGTTTAAAGTTCGTTTCTCTCATGTCTTCGTCCAATTTTTTATCCTGACATGCTCTTAATCCTTATGGGCGTTAGTTGTCATGTTGGACATATCCAACTCATTTTTTTATTCTTTTAAATACCACATTGAATTATCATGTCATTTTGACCTCACCACATGACATTTATATGAAAATGAAAAGATATTTGGACTCATAAACACCTAATCCGACCCATAAATCAACTCCTTTTAAATTCACTATCCGACCCATTTTTAACAATTTTATTTAATTTTTATTTTTTCGGTAAATCTCAAAAATGAGTAATTGATTAATAAAAAATAAGAAAAAAATATAAAATTAACGCCAAAAATTCACAAATAAATATAGTAACCTTAAATCTAACATTTCAATATTTTTTTAAAATTTTTATTTTTTTTATAATCTCGAAAATGAGTATTTGATTAATAACAAAAATGAAAAGTATGAAAAAAATATAAATTAATGCCAAAAGTTCACAAATAATTATAGTAACATTTCAGTCTACAATTTTTTTATAAATTTTTATTTTTTCGACAAATCCCAAAAATAAGTAATTTATTAATAAAAAATATGAAAACAAAATAAAATGTTTACATCAAAATTCACAAATAAATATAGTAACCTTAAATTCAATAATTTCAACAATTTTTTTATTTTATATTTTTTCATATTTTCCAATTTTTATTTGTGAATTTTTTGCGTAAATTTTATATTTTTT